ATGTACAAAGAGAAAACAAGAAGAATTTATAATGAAATGATTCAGCCAATCGTAAAGGATGTTAATTAGCGTAAGTAAACTTCTTAATTACTCTAAACTCGCACGTTGTTCTAACGCAAACAACATTGTATACGTTTCTTTTAAAATAGTAAAAATAATCAGTATTATTATTATTATTATTATTAGAACTACACAACGGATTGCAGTTTTCTTGTTTTACGAATAGGTATGATTATAATTATAAATAAACTTTAATTATTAATCGATTATCAAACATTTTACTAACCGAATTTCAAATACATTTTTTCCCCCTTTTTCTTATTTTCACTCTTAAAATATGCTCTCGCAATTTGTGTCGACCATATTGAATGAAATGAAATTAATATAAAATTAGAAAATCAATTAGTTAAAATCTATGTGAATTTATAAAAAAAAAAAAAAGAAAGGAAATAATAAGAGATCGTTGAAAAATCTTGAAACTAAACGTTAACGACCTCGTTGGCTCACGTAGCCTGGCCTAATTTTTGCAAAGTATTGAGGTCGACATCAACGACTAGGTCGCGTTCGTACTATTTTATGTGACGTTTTTAACGAAAGGTTAAATATCACCGTTTAAGTCGAAAATACTTTCATCCGTATGCACATATTTACTTTACCGAAATAATTAATTGTAATACTACTTAATATACTTTAGTATATATATTATCCTATACTCGAAAAAAAGGTGTGAAAAATTAATTTTATTAATTATTTAATAAGACAAATTCTCAAAAAAAAAAAAAAAAAAAAAAAAAAAAAAAAAAAGAAACAAAAAGAACACTACCAATATATTTTACATAACGTAATGTAATGTTAAATAAAATAGTCATACAAATCTTTAAAGAATATGTGAAAAAAATATAATTAAAATAAAATAAGTGAAGTAGGGGTAGGGGGAAGAAAAAAAAATAAAAAAAAAAAGGGATGAAAAGTAGCTGGTGATGCTTGGAAACGGAGTGGTGTTTAGTCGTGTGATCCTTTTAACGAGTACAATCTGGTCAGACGTTTGTCGACTGCACCGGTAAGCGTTAATCGTATAACAACGGAGACAGAAAGAGACACGTTATGTACGCTGCTTCTAAACTCACTCGACGACGAGGGTAGACTATCCAATTACAATAACCCACGAGAGAGAAAAAGAGAGAAAGAAAGACATAAACAAGGTCGCCACGACGTAAACGCGTCTATAACCCTTCCCTTACTTCATATTTCCCCACTTTTTCTAAGTCCTCGTCGTAATTATTATCATCAACAATTCTTTATTATTTTTCTTCTTATTAATGTTCTCATATTTTTCTATTATCTTGTTCTATAAGATCTAATCACAAATTGTCTCTACGTAATTCAATACAAAAATTAAATTATATTCGTATCGAAAAATGATCCTCTACTTTTCTCTGTTGGATTATCCGAAATAGAATTAATATGGGGTTTTTGTTTTTTATTATTAATGCTTTTATGGCCTCTCCTTTAAACGAAAGTCAGACCATCACGTTCCTCAGATTTTTGTATTTTTCTTTTTTTTTATATATTAAGGATCAAGATTATTTGTTTTGAAAAAAAGAAAGTATGTTATGCACCAAATGAAGTGAAGAATATGCTTGATTTTAGTTTCACACAGAATAATATATTTTACTGATAACCTAATTTATTATTTTTTTATTCTCATTGTCAATTAGTTTCAATAATACATTTTTATTAATTTTCAATTGATGATCTCAGTCTTTAATTTCCTTGATTAACCTTATTAACCTTATTAACTCTTACTGCATTATCTGTTAACCTTGATAGATTTTCTCTCATTAATTTCTTATTAACAATCTTATTATCTTTAATCAAATTTTTATTTTATTATTTTTATCTTTCATATAACAATATACATATTTTCTAATATTCATTATAACAATGAATATAGATATAAATGATATTAAAAATACAGAGTAAGAGTGCATAAATTCAATTATCAATAGAAAATAATTGTACATATTTTCAAACAATTTTCTACCCTAAAAACGTGTACATATTATTCTACATACAAGGTAATCATAAAATTTCAATTATACAAAAATCATATATATATATGTTTGTACAAATTTTCTATCTTAAATTAAAATAATAAATACAAGTATTCTATATACATATGGTGGGTGTAAAATTACAATGGAAAATAAACTGATGCTAATAAAAATTGTCAAACCTTAATTAGAATGAAATGACTTATAAAAGGAGAAAATAATAGTAAAAAATAGAGAAGGAAAGATAGAAAGAGATAGAAAAAAAGAGACAAATAGATAGATTGAGTCGCATTATGACGATGGGTTATATATGTTAGATTGGCGAAAACAAAACGATTATAACGATTACGCAACACGGTCCGATATCGATCGACGTCTACGTCGCATTCGTTCGCTTCGACACGATGTGGGTCGCGAGTAAATACTTGAAAAAAAAAAAAAAAAAAAATAATAAAGAAAAGAAACTAAAAAGAAGATGAGAAAAGGAAGGAATAAAGAGAAGGAGGGAGAGAGAGAGAGAGAGAGGAAGGGAACAAGGGTTGGAGGGAAGTTAGAGAAAAAAACGAGATAAAATAAAAACAAATTATTCATATAATTGCAATATACAAGGAGGTTACACCATTCCATGATCCATATTATCAAGCAGCAAACTAGTCCGTTAGAAATTCTTACTTTTTACAACGTCATTTTAATGTGTGTACGATGATGACGTCAGTCATTCATAAGACTCCGCTTGTTTGAAATTCCCGCGTTTTTTCTACATCCTATAGAGACGGGATATCTAAAAAATCAATTTCAAACGAATTAAAAATTTATCTCTTGCATATCCATTATTATTATTATTATTTTGTTATCCTCTTGTGTGTTTCCTTTTTTTTTTTAATCACTCATTTTAATATATATGCAATTAATGTGTATTTTAAATCATTCCAATAATTTATTTCTCCTATACAAATTTGATCATTCAATTATTTAAATTATTCTTAACGAATGTATTATACATTAACAATAAAAAAAAAAAAAACCAATAATATATCTCAACCGCAAAAGAAAGAAAAAAAAAAGAAAAATCCTTTAGACTGTTTCATCCCTTATACATTGAACAACCTCAACCCTAGTTTTGTATTCCTTATCAAAAGAGCATGAAGAAAGTAACAGTAGAAAGCACCATAAATGATTGTTGCAGGTATACGATAACTATACTAGTTTAATAGTAGTAAATAGTAATACTAGTATTAGTATAGTTATAGTAGTGGTAGTATTTAGTATAGTAATAGTAGTAGTAAGCAACAACCGGTAGGTCCGATCGATACCCTCTCTCTCCCTTCGCTCTCAGCGCCGACGACCGTAAAGGAATCCAGCGAGAGAAGCAACAACGCCGGCGTTTTCCTCGAGCATGGTGGTCGAAGCCGCCGTCACCGCCGCCGCCGCCGCCGCCATGGGGGCACATACAATTTTCTATCTCTTTCATTTTTAATCTTCCTTTTCGAAAAATCTATCTGCTATTAAGAATCCATAACGCATATATAACAATCATACAAAGTTCATATATCATATATGCATTTTATTATGCAACATGCACCTATTACACAAAACTACTAATTTTACTCTCTCTTTCTTTTTCTTTTATGCCTTATTCGTTTCACACATTTTACATACTGGGCCTACATACGCGTACATGCATACACATATATATGCACATTTACTCTCTCTTTCTTTCTCTTTTCTATCTCATTTGTACATTTACTTATTGGGACCCTAAACACATACATTCTTACTTTCTCTCTCTCTCTCTCTCTCTCTCTCTTTCTTTCTTTGGTTTATTCGTTAACTTACTGGGTCTGAAATGCATATACATATATAGATCACATACACCATTAATTTATTTTCTATCTTTCTTACTCTTCCATCATCCCTTAACGGTAAACAAGGAAAATACGAGGAGGACACGATGCAACGATGCAACTACGACGACGACACGAAGGAGAACGGTGACGAACGAAGCTACCCGAACGAACGGGAGGTCAGTGACTAAACGAAGAATCGTCGTGTGAAAGGCGATATGTCTCCGAGAGAGAGAGAGAGAGAAAGAGAGAAAGAGTAACACAGCAAGAAAGCAAGAGTAAGAGAGTGTACGAGAAAGAACGAAAGACAGAGAGGGAGATAGAAAACTATAAAAAAAAATATATATAATCAAAGATATTAAACTTCTTATTGTAATATACATATATATATATACATCGATATATAAGGAGATAAGAAAAAAAAGTAAGGAATAGCGAGGACCCGTTGAGGGTGAAAAACGTCCCTCCCAATCATCCCCTCGCCATTCTTCTTCTTCTTCTTCTTCTATTCTCTTTCTCTCTCTTACCTCTTTCTTCAAGATCGATGCTTTCTCCCTCGGAAGAAATAAGTCGAGAGTGTTCTCACAGGAACGCCCTAGGAGCCACCCTTTTCCAAATTCTATCCATCTCTCTATCTATATATATATCTTTCTTTCTCACATACACACATACATCAAATCGATCGTATTCACTTCTATAATAAAAACACTTGCAACAAATAAAGTCCTTCATCTATTTCTCGTATCAACATTGGTATATATTTAAAAAAAATATTAAATTAATAATAATAAGAACTAAAAAGAGAATAGAAAGAGAAAGAACGAGGGGGAGGGTCAATAATATAAATATTGTTCATTAATATATGTTTTATATATTAAATGGGTAAGATCGAGAGACAACTATACTTCACTACCTTAATACATGTATATATATATATATATACTTAAATATATATTTATATGTATGCATATGGTGTATTTGTATGTATGTGTAAGTAGCATTGGTGTGTCGTGCTCCGAAAATACGTCGTAGGCACGCGTGGATGAAAGATAGAGAAGAGAAGGGGGGTGCAGAGGGTATAGTTTAGAGGAAGGGGACTTACCGAGACGGCGTGTTACGGCTACGTTGACTACGTTGACTACGTTGACGACGTTGACGATGAAAATGGTGTGGTGTATCATCCACGATTGAAAATTCCTCGAAGACGATGTTGTTTCCTTCCTATGTCGAATTCTCCGTTAATATTATTTTCTCTTTCCTTCTCTTTTATTATTTTTTTATTTGTAATCTCTCTCTCTCTTTTCCTTTCTTTCTCTTTCACATACATAGAAATGCACGCATTATACACGTATAGATATACACACAGGATGAAGGGAGAGAGAAAGAGAGAGAGAGAGAGGGAAGGGAGAGAAAGACCGAAAAACGAGGTCGTTGGTTAGAACGTTTTGTATCGTCTAGAAAGAACGAGAGTGAGTGAGTGCAAGAGAGTGAGAGAGAGAAACAGTGATAGAGAGAATACACAGAGAAAGATAGAAGGAAGACAAAAAACTAGGCGGAAATAGCGTAGGAGAAGTAGCTCCGACAGTATACACATATACACACGCGCACTAATTATATATATATATTATGCACTGAAAACACACACTTAACCTATACACTTTTATCGAGAGTAATCACATCGAATGTTATTCCATTTAATTATACATTTAAATAAATTTTCTTTTATTTAACACATAGTTTAACTGTGGCGAGTTATTGTTCTCAACTTTTTACATACTACTTTAGATGAACCAATTAAATATATTATTTCAACCCTTTTTCAAACACATACACACACACATGTATATATATATATATATATATATATTTATTTATTTATCTCATTTAAATGTCCCACTGTGTTTGTATGTCTCTACTTTTTTTTGTTATATTAACATATATGTATTTATATCTATAGATTTATACATATGTACGTACGTACGTATGTTTTTTATATATACATATATATATATATATGTGTATATAAATAAGAACGAAAAAATAAGTGAGAATTATTTACTGAGCCAAACACACAATCTATCCGCACGAGCCGCGCACAAGTTGTTTACTAGAACGCACACCACGCCATGCCCCGTGAGAGAGCGTGCCTTAATATCCCCTCTTTTCCTTCTCCACCAATACCACCAACTTCCATATATTCCGGACCAATAACCGCTCCTCCTCGTCCCTCGTCAGGAATCCCGAGCAAAACAAGAGCCTGCGCAGTAATCCCACGCGCATCTTCCGCCCGTCTTTCCCACACTCGATCGTAGCGCCATTATTTCGGTTCTTGAACGTTTTTTCGAAAATTCCATGCTCCCTATCATCGCCATCTTGTGTACACTCTTTTAAATGTTCTATTTCTTTTTTGGATCAATTTAATTCCTTTTTAATAACAAATTTTGTTCATATTTCAAAAGTATAATTACTCTGTGTGCTTTATGTAAGTAAATAAAAATTTTCTTATTATTATTTGTCATAATTTTCAAAGTAATTTTTAATTAGATATATTATAAAAAATTTCTATTATTATTGTCAATGATACAAGTTTAGAAACAACTTTGTTGTATATATATATTATTGTCTTGATTAAATTAAAAAATAATGATCAAAAATATTATTTCCTACAAATTTTGAAAATAACTTTATGTTTGTTCTAATTCCTTTATAATTTTTTATTGTAGTTTACGTAAATCCAATGATGGACGTCTCGCTCAGTCAAAGGTAAAATTCATAATATATGAAAACAATACTTTTATTAGTAACAAATTATAATTTTATTAAACAATTTCGAAGATTATTCTTGCCAAAATTCTTTTTTAATTATTCGTTGAATGCTTTTTTACTTCGTAAAGTTAAATTATTTATCTTGTATCTTTCATTTTCATTTTTCTTTATAGATTAATAATTATTGTCTTCTGTAGCTCTCTTTTTCTCATTCATTTTCTCTCTCAATCTTTCTTGTTTTTTTTAATTACAAATATGGTTCATAAACCTTCGAAATTCAGAATTATAAAAAGGATCTTAATCTATCTTAACAATAAATATACACACATACATATACATATATAATTAATATAGCTTTGTACAAGAGTTAAAAAAAATATTATTAAATATTACTAATAAATCTATTCGTTGGACGTAAGTCCGGATATTCCTTTTTTCTTTTCAAAATGAATTATTCTTATTCATTTTTATAAAAAGACAAAAGAAAGATGATGCGCTGATATTAAAGTTAGTAATACTTGATTAAATCGTTAAAAGTCTTTTAGTATTAGTTTTTTTCAAATATTCGTTGTGTCTTTGAACAGTGTTATCATATTAAAAATCTTAACGAGAAGAAAAGAACAAATTATAATAACACATTCTAATCATTCTAAATCCTGAACAATCAACGAAACGATCTAAATACAAATTTAACAATAAAATACGTATTACTAATAAAACAAAATTATACGACGTAAAAGTGTTGAGTATTATTTAAAAAAAATTCGTTTTCCGCGAAAAAAGAAACATAAAAAAGAATATAAAACAATTAGTAAAATAATAGTAATAACGTGATAACGTACACATTCATGTTAAACAACGTGACACTGATAACAAAGTGACAAGACCAAGTAACATTGATGATGCACAAACTATCGCTAATGTGTCACGATTGTAATTTGGACATAATTCTTGTTGATGACATCTCCTATAAAAAAGAAAACAAATAAACAAAAAGTTAATTAAAAAGTTAAAGTAAAAACGTATTTAATTTTAAATGAAAATTTAGGGTCTGAAATATTTGTTCAATTTGATTTTTTCCGCGAGACGAAACTTACCATCGTTCAATAAGAACGACGACCAATCCGGTAATGACTTTATCGAGAAATGTTACTATCGAATAAACTAATGCACTTTTTTCGGTTCTCGGACCAATGATCTCAGCTGTTACACTTAATGCCGTTACCATGGTAATCGAACTACCCGCGCCAATTAGAATTGCTATTAGGTATGTAATTATTCCGTGACTACCACCAAATTCTGTGATGGCTGCTGATAGAATCCCGATAAAAGCTCCAGTAAGGTAACAAATCTAAATAATTAAACAATAATTTATTCATATTAATATATATGTATGTAAAAAATATAATATTTATTTAATTAGTTATTTCTCTCGTCCAAAATTATAATTCTTAATACGGAATCACAGGGAACTTGGGCATACAAAGAAGTAGAACCTAATTTAACTAAGTTGGACGTTTCGTCTCTTTATTGGGACTTCTTCAGTAACTTAATCTTACAGTTCATATAAATAAAAAAAGACGCAGAATTGTAAGATTAAGTTGCTGAAGAAGTCCCAATAAAGGGACGAAACGTCCAACTTAGTTAAATTAAGTTCTACTTCTTCTTATGTCCAAGTTCCCTGTGATTCCGTATTAAGAATAATATTTATTATAATTGTTATAAGAGATCAAAATTTTAAGGTTATGTGTTTCTTACCTTGGTACCGCAAGATCTGTTCATATATTTGAGTAACAATGCAGCTATAAATGAAGATAGATAAGAGACTAATGGTACAGTGGCTAACGCTTGTTTACCACCAACTGCAGTTTCTTCAATATAAAGTGGTAAATAAACTGTTGCAAGAGTTATAAATAATCTGCTTGCAACGTATAACATTGCTACTCTGAGTAAAATAGATGTTGCAAACCATGATCTCCTAGGGCCCGATAAACCATCTAAAAGCCAAGTAGATTCTTCGATATTCATTTTGCTTTGTGATTGATTACCATTTTCTAAAAGATTTCCTTTCAGAAAGATATGAAAGAGGATAGTAGCTGTCAAACCAATCCCAGTTATAACAATCACAATATTCTGAAATAATAATTGATAGATAGCATTGAGAAAAATGTATTTTTAAGATGACAATATCATTATTTCATTTCTAATACTAACTTTGAATTTGTAGTCATCATTTTCATCTAGCAATACCATGGATTCCCCATTATTTGGAAGGACTATCCACGTAACAATAAAAACTACAACTGCTGCGCTTACCTGTGCCGAATACCTGTAATGGAAACAATGTATAAGTAAGTGAATTTAATTTAGATGATCAATCATTCTTACCTTATCGCTGTTAATTCGGTTCGACCAAGTAATGAACTTGTTAATGATGGTATCATTGACAAATGTGAAATCTGTACAGCTGCCCAGCCAATTTGAAAGATCACGATACTCAGTATGTAAAAGAATACGATGATAGAGTTAGGACTATTAGCAAATCCTCCAAAAATCATAGGAAAACTAAATGTTACTAATACGGAGCCAATAATGTGCCAGATCTTTTTCTTGCAATAACGATCGACAAGAAAACCAAAGATCGGTGTTGTAAAAGCATCCACAATTTGGCCTTTAAAGTATAATGTTTGAAGTATTAGTTCTTATTATAAAAATATTTAAAATCTAACTTTTATTAATTATTCTATTGTTTACCTAATAATAATAGTGTCCCAGCCATTATTGGCTCCATTAGAGCAACTTTTTGAAGGTAAATTAAAGTATAAGAAAACCACATGGCTGCTGCCAAATCATTGAAAATATGTCCCAAAGCGTATGCCAATTTGGTTGACATAAATACTCTATTAGTTTCCGTAACAAATACTCCATTTTCCATTTTAATAGTTTTCTCCATTTTGTCTTTGGTTTACTTCTTTCACTTTTTTCTTTTTTAATACTTTATCAGTGTGCATACATCAGTTGCGACGCATAGAAACATTGAAAGAATTTAGCATCCTGATCATCATCTTGTTTCTTTTATTTGTACTAGAACAAACATTTAATTATAGAAGATAGAAAATGTGTGTCAATGTACATATCTTAATGAACACATCACGAAATAACAAATGATATTAACATAATTTATGATAATATTATTATCTCTTATGCAGCTGTTCGATGTACATCAAATTTAATAAAATAAATTAACGATATTAATTATTTAGCAAAAATTGTTTCTCAACAATGACTCATTGAATAACTTTTGTATACTATGTATTTAAAAGGTTTTCATTTCTAATTTAAAAGATACATATTGAAAGATAAACTTCAAGATTTAATTAATCGTAATTATTATAGAATTTAACTACAAGTTTTAATTTAAAAAGTTTTAATGAATTTCATGATAAGTTTTCCTTTCACTTGCAATATCAGCCTGAAGCTATTCTCCGTTTAAGGAAGTTGGCGTTTGAAACAATTTTATTTTTGCCTTCCAGTAAAAAAAAAGAAACCAATTTACAATGTAACTTGATGTAACATTCCTTGCTCCTGTTGCTTTTCATTTATGAAACACAATTCACACAATGACCGGAAATGTAATATTGAATTTCACATATATTATATATATATATGCTTGTACTACTATACAGTACAGTACTTACTTACTCGTATGTTAAGATTGATAGGTTTATTTTTTGTTTTCTCTTATCTTAGTATCGGTCATAACAACATAAACAATAAATACCATACTCGTCATTTCAAATTTCTTGAAACTATTAGAAATAAGATTATTAGGATGTTGATTTCAGAAATTAAATTATCTTCATATTTCAAATCACATTATTTTAACTGATTTTAATTTCCATCGAGAAACAAAATAAATAATTAATTAATAATATATCAAATAAATTTTTCTTAATTTGAAACAATTATTTAAATTAGTTCTATGTTGTTTTTCAAAAAAAAGAAAAAAAACAAAGAATGTAAACAAGTGAATAAATTAATTAAATATAAATTTAAATTATATTATAAACCGCGAGAGAGTGTATTGAAATAAATTTATTAAATGAATTTAATATTTACGATAATTATTTGAATTAATTTCTTGTTTTCAATGTGGAAAAGAAACAAAAAAAAAAAAAAGATAAAAGAAAACAAAGATAAATCAAATTTATTTTCTAAATTAAATATATATAGAATTTAGTGAGACATACGTAAGATAATGAAGAGATAAGTATCAGATATATAATATTCCTGATAGTGTATAGAAGATAATAATAGATTTTTCTAAAATAAGAAATAATCACTATTGTAGAAACTTATTAGACTTTTAAGAACATGTCAGGTTGAAAAACGACGAGCAACTGAACGTTGTTCGTTCGCCGTTTGCTTCGTCATAAAGCAAGGAGAAAGAAGATGAAGAAGAGAAGGGACGAAGATAGGGGCCGGGGGCAGTGGAGGAGAGAAGAGAGTGGAGGTGGAAGTAGGAGATGGAGAAGAAGAATTATAAAGTATAAACGTTTGTTCTGTCATTTTAAATTTGAAACTTGAAATTTCAGTGTTATTGTTGTTAGATCAAGATCAAAGAATTTTATTAATCTTATATTATGATATAGATAGAAAGTACTTATTTATAGGCATCTTGAATAGGAAGATAATTTAGAAAGAAGTAGATAAATAGATAGATTATTTAGATCATTTATAAAGTAATTGTATATATATATATGTATATTACAATAAGAAGTTTAATATCTTTGATTATATATATTTTTTTTTATAGTTTTCTATCTCCCTCTCTGTCTTTCGTTCTTTCTCGTACACTCTCTTACTCTTGCTTTCTTGCTGTGTTACTCTTTCTCTCTNTGCACACTTTATTTATACAATAGCTGGTCGAATAATACAACTAATCTTGAACGATAGTTATTTCCTTTTTTTAGTTATGCTAACAATCGTCAGCGACTAGAATAAGTTAGTTTTGCATTTTCTTTTTTTTTTTATACTTACATGTAAATATAGTTGATTAATAATGTTGCTGTACAACTCATATTTTCATTTTGGGTGACACTTCCTGTTTTGATTATATACACATCATTTTAGTTCAATTATAATAATGTTATCTTTTATGTAATAGAATAATATTATTCTGTTTGAGTCATTTTAATGACTGATCATTTTTCTTTTTTTGCTTTTCTTATCTTATTTTTCTTTTTTCTGTTGGAACTGAAAGAAAATGTTTGTAGAATAGTTAATGGTAAAGAAATATCTTAGAACGTACGTACTTGTGGAATTAAAATGAAAACAATTTTGTATAAATTGTTATATTCAATTCAGTAATAAATATCAATTCAATTTGTTTTAACTATATGTGGAAGAATATTTAATAGAAAAAGAATTATTAAAATATATATATCAAAGTGATTTTGGAAAGATAATAGTCAATAAAAAAATCTATAAATAATAAAGGTTCTTAACAGGATATGAATCAGTTCAATTATAATATAGAAATGTGAGATGATCTTTTGCATAACAACACAAAGAATGTTACAAAGAATTTTCTAGAATAATACTTTCATTTATAGAGTTCTCGATACTAGAGACAGTTTTTATGGTTTAAGCTTCCTTCAGTATAAGCATGCAATATACATATATATACATTTATGTGGTTAACATATATACTCATCGTATTTATAAGAGTATATATATATGGGGTATGGAGAGACGGTAATCCGAGATTGAGAACATGAAACCGATGCCTTGGTAAGGAAGAGTACGAAGCAACAATCGATACTTAGTTTTTCTATGGTCTCTTTCGTTTCTCATCTCATTTACTTGAGTTCGTTAACATTTTGTAGGCCAGACATTTTCTATCTTTCTCTCTAACAAATATTACATTACTTTGATTTCTGTGTGTTACTATGTACAATTATATTTAATTATTCATGTATCCTATTTACTTATGAAATGGACCTGGCATGGAACAAACTGCATATAAAAAAAAAACAAGTATATTATTACATCTGTTAATTGTTAATTAGAAATTAGTTGTACGATAAATCCAAAAATAATCTATTATTTTTATTTTTCTATTATTATTTATAATTATTTAATTAGGCATGTGTGTATATATACATATATATTTTTTGTTTTTGTAATATTTTAAATTATTGTTATATTTTAAAGATAGATAATAACTCATAAATAAATATAATTATTAGAAAATAATTAAAATAAAATAGAGAAGTGTTTTAAAAATTAAATTTATTTAATTTAAAAATAGATTTCCTATTTTTATTATTTTTTTTGTCTTTTCTCCTTTTTGTTTCTTTTTATAACAAAAGTGTATATATCATTTACGTATTAATCTTGATACATTATACAAGATTTGACTAATAATAAGTTAATTATTCTACTTATTATATACAAAAATTAAAGTATGCATACTTATGTTTATGTATAAGAAATTCTAAAAATGAAATGACATTTTTATTTAAATGAAATAGAATTTTTTTTAGATTCATTCTTTGATCTGTAAATATATACGATCAATAATATCAATCATTGGAAGCTTGTATTATTTTGATATTATCCGAATAATATCTAATTATTCAGATTGTAAATTTTATGTTTGGTAAAAAAGAATACACATATAGTGTGTCTATTCACATTAAACTATTCTATTATTTTTTTACAATTCACTGTTTTCGTTTTAACCGAAGCTGAGTATTCCGTTCCTTCGAATTGTCTCAAATGTATCTGGAAAAAATAAATAAAAAATAATGAAAACATAATAAATATAAATAAATAAATAATAAAAATAATAAAATAATAATAATTATGGGGGGAAAAAAAAAAGAAATTGCATAAGGGATTTTTAATGTATTTAAATATACCTGTAAATGTAAATTGACTTCGGCTGATCGACTCAAATATGGAAAATTACCGCCATTTTTTAAATGAGCTAATTTAGCGTTTGGATAACATTTATACATTTCTTCTCTCACTGAATTTGATAATGCGTACTCGTCGAAGACGTCCATTATCGTTATTGGTAAATTACAAATTTTTTCCGGTTGAACGTAACAATTGACACAGTTCATAGTTAATCTCGACGCCAATTCCGGTTGATTTAAACTTTCCAACTAAAGAAGATCAACAGGACACAACACACATCAAGGATATAATAAAAAATAATACAGATATTTATGTTCTTTGTTTGTTAAAAATCTTTTCTTACTCTTTCGACCATAAAATCGATAGCTTCGATAATTTCTCCATCAACTTTCTCAGTTGTAAAATTTCCCATGACCATTTTTTTCAATACCAACGACGGCAAGATCCAAAAACTATAAATTTTCAAATATAAAATAAATATAGAAGAAGAAAAATAAATTAGAAAATTATTCGTTACATTTTTTTGGATTAATAATTTATAACAAATCAATTATTTTTTGGTTTGTTTAAATTGTACTTGTCGAATTGTATCGTGTATCAACTTACTTACACTGCAGCAGAATCGTTGTAACTAAACACAGAAGTGTCTGTAAATGTGTTACATAAAATTAACGAGGCTACTCTTGGGCAGTAAGCATTGACTTCGGTAAATTTCTGCGCTAAAAATCCACCTAAGAGAATAATCAGAAGAAAACAAAATGTTCTTTTTCTTTTTATTTTATTTTATTTTACGAGATTTTCATAACTACGTAGGATAAAAATAAGAAAGAAATTGATTAATTTATAATTGTATCATACGTTCATGAATTCTGACCTAACGAGGCTCCAAATAGATGGACCCTATCAAGTCCCATGTAATCCAAAAGTTTTCGAAACCCATCGCACCATTCTTTGACATTCCAGTATACCGGTGGTTCAGCCTAAATAATATTTTAACAAACAAAAAATAAAAAATAAATAGTATTCTTATTTGTGCAAGGAAAGATAATAAACGAAAGGGTACTAATTATATATTTTAAGTAATATGCATTATTTTAATTGCATTCTATTTATACTCATTTTCGACAGTCGATAAGATAGTACGTTTATGATAAAGCAGAAAAATAATTGAAAGGTAATTGTTCATTGTTTTATTGTATAAAAGTATTAAAAACTCACCGATATAACTCTGTAACCTTTAGCAGCTAGGCCTAATATTTGTTTATAAAAAACATCAGCAGTACCACTGACTGGAGGAAGACAAATGAGTGGACATTTAACAGTCTTTGGACTTGAATCGTAAATTTTCCATCCCTGCAAAAAAACAAATGATAGGTAACAGAAATGAGGAGAGACGAAAACAGGTAGTTTTACATCAGGATTATGACTTTAATAGCATGAATCATTTATGAAAGATAATCCTGATTTATATGAATATTAATATATGTGTTTCTCTTTTATATAATCAATGAATAATTGAACTTTAGAAAAAAAAATATCTAATAACAATAATAAATTTGTAATAATTATATAATTTAAGGTACTGTTTCTGTTATCATTTGTATGTGATTAAACATATAAAAAATGAATGTAAATTATTTAAAGAAAAATAATTGAAATATATTTACCTTAGTGCCATCTGCATCAACGACGATTTTTCTAAGAGGAACAGAACTTCGAAAGCTTTGATATTCTTGAGAACGAGACAGTTCACTGCACGAAGACATTTTTCCTATCTCCCACTCTTATATTTCTTTTTAATATTGTCACTTGTAAACGTTTATCGATACAACACGATATACATATATATAATATTGCGTTTATATTTGATATTTTAAACACAAAATTATGTTCGATGTATTACCATGATGGCAAAAATATGTTTAAAGATGTTATACAAAAGAAAACAAAAATCAAGATAAATTGATCGTAAGAAAAAGAAAGAAATAAAGAAAGATATAGAAGTGTGTTGCGTTGATTAATAATTCTTTGTATTAGGGGGATCCCCAAAAAAACATTTATACACACACACACACACAAACACCAACACTTTTTTTCAATAAGAGAAATTATTCTTAACACAGAATACGATTTAATATAATACTTTTCTTTGTATAATCTTATCGATTAATCGAAACTTCTTAATGATAAATTGTTTACGATAAAAAAATGACGAAATGATTTTAATCCGAATTTAGTTAGATTTAAAGGAAAAAACAAAAATCGATATAATAGAGGAAGAGAAAAAAAAAACGAAAAAGAAAATAATATGAAAAGAAAATAATCGAAGCTAACGCGACGATGGTTCATACTATACTCTTTCAACTGGGTTACCTTACCCCCCATCTTGTTGTAGCTTCTACCAGTTATTATATCCCTTCTTTTATAACGAACATGCGCAGTTTTCCTATTCGATTCGAGAGAGGAAGAGTGAGAGAGAGTAACACTTGTTGTGTTAGAGTTCATTCTCAGTCATCGTTGATCATTCGATCGGTATAAATTGTATTTTCTTTTTTTTTCCACCCGATTTTCTAATAAAAAATAACACCCAGAGTACATTTTCATAAGATTTTTGTTTATTAACAATTATTAATATGATTATAATAACTCGTTGAAAATATCTTATCTATTGATGTCTACTCTATCGACCTGCGGTATGGTAGAATTGATTAATTGTTTATTTAACAATATATTTTGTTATTCTTTATATTTTAAACTCTTTAATGTCTTACAATTTTGTAGAATATGATCAAATTGTTCGTGAAATGAATTCTATTTGATTTAGTACTGTTCATCAATTAAATAATATATTCGTGTATATCAAGAATAGATTTTGATATTATATTATTTCAGAATGTCGTAAATTTTTGTTTATTTGTTTATTGATACAAAAATTTAATCATTTAACAGTTACCTTTGTCGACCGACGTACAAACAGCGTTTTACCTTATCGACTGTAAGTGTTAAAACAATGTTTTTTATTCTAATTTAAATATACGATATATATATTTGTTTAATAATTATGATCATCGATGTATCTACATTTATTATAACATCAAACAATATTTCTTTATTTTAAATTTGAATATTTTAATCAAATATAAAATTACACACACACATATATATATATATATATATCAACAAATCATGATACCTTTATATGGAAAGAATAATAAAAAAGAAATAGGATAAAGTAACGAAAAAAAAAATAAACATGAAAATATTTGAAGTAGATTTGAAGTTGTTTGAGGGGTGGTTGGTGGGGAACGTAGCTCATTGCTCGTAGCTCGTAAAGAGGGTCGTAACCACCGTCTTTCTCGTGGAAGGGTGTGGCTCAGCCGGCAGGTACGTATCATCTACCTACAACCATAAGCGAGCTTCTATGTACTTGTGTAAGTACAACCGGGCAACACATCGGTTATCCATCGAACGACCGACTGCAAGATTAACGATCTAGGAACTTCAACGGTATTACTTTGGCCACGAGAACAGGGTACCACTTCTCCCCCTTTCTCCCCCTTTCTCTCAACCCTCAGCCCTCTTTCTCTCTCTCTCTCTCTTCCCCTTTTTACCATCCACTTTCTTTCTTTATTTCTTTCCTTCTTCTTCTTCATCTAATTTTTTTTCTCTCCCTACCCTTCCTCTCTATTTATTTTATCTCATATATCATCGAGTACATGCACCACTTCTTTTTATCTTTTTTTATTTGTTTTTTTTTAACTGCTTTAGAACAATTTAAATATCCATGTATTAGGTTGTTGTCCCATAAGTTCTTTCCCTACCACGCTATGTATACCTTCGAGCTGGCAATGTTTGTAGACACGCAGGCTTATCTATTGACATTGATTTCACTAGTCTCACAACTTTTTCAAAATACTTTTCGGTTGCTGACAAAATATCTTTTCAAATCTTTTTTTTTAAGATATCCAAAATAAGTATTTGCGGTATGTTATGGTTTATTGCTTTAAAAAAGGTAGTAGGTTTATATATAACACAGTAAATCAATCTTAAACAACAAATATATATTTTTTTATTGGATTAGTAGCCAACTTTGTAATTTTAGTATTCACCAACGTGGTAACACTGAACTATGTAAAAGTATAAAAACGTAGTTTAGTTTAATATATTTAGATATATAAAATAGTACAAATATAAGTATACATATATTATCATTATTATTTGATATCATTAATTTATCATACACATACATATACGTATAAATGTTATAATAAACTTATCGCAAAATAATGACTATTATCGACGTATACGTTAATTATACGAGGTAAACGATGTTAGTAATTAAAAGCTTTTTCCAAGTCATTAAGTCTGAAAACGTTGAAATTAATGCTCTGTTTAAAACCGAATTAATCATGTTCAAGGTATTCTCACTCACTCTCTCTCTTTCTCTCTCTATCTTTATCTTTTTTCATTCTTTCATTCTCTTTCTCTTTCTCTTTCTCGTATGGTCCATTATTATCGTCAGTGGCTGGCAAAATTAAACGAAATTCCACCGAACCTGAAACGTACGACTCTCTTTCTTTCTGCTTAAGTATCTTTACGTACGTATGTATTCACCATACTCACATATTCACCTCGTCGTTGCTTTTCGATGGTAAGGAGGGGCCGTACGTTTACCGAACAAAAAAAAAATAAAAAGAAATAAAAAGTAACATCTACCACCACCACCACCATCACCATCACCAACTTCTTTTCGTGAGTGACGGCTTCGCTAATATCTACCCTCGTAAAGAGAGAAGGAAAGTAAAAGAGAGAGAGAGAGAGCTTTAACTTTCTTTCAAATATCTTTCTTCTTTTTATTTTTTTGTCATTTCTTTAAACACATTTTGCGTTAAGTGTTATATTTATAAAAATCAATGAAATGATATAATATACCATTGTTAACGTTCATTATTTTATCGAACGATTGTTTAATACGTGTTTGATTCAAAATGAGATTTGTTTCTGTGTGTATATAATATTAATTTGTTTATTTCAGAAGAATACAGAGAAGTAATTGTACAGATGATGATGGGATGGGAAGGAAAAGAATATCAGTGGATCAAAAGAATAGGTAAAGATTAAAACAATTCGTTCCTAAGCACACACACACACAAACACACATGGGGATTTAATCTACGAGCGTGAAATATTTCGAATAGCTGACGTTTGCATTGCAAACCTTTTGCTGATCATTAATAACCGATACGACGGAATGTTCGGTTCTTGTTTCGTCCTAATTCGACGTATCAAATTGAACTCGTTAATCTTTTGCTTCTTTATATTATACAGATTGTTCAGGATTGTATTTTTTGATAAAATTCATTCCCCTTCCCCCCTTCTCGTAGAAATCATTTCGAAAATTCACTTCCCAACGAATCGTATTTCTTTCAACATTAATTGCACGTTATTAACAATCCATTGAAACACATAATTTTATCTTTTTCAATACTTTAACAAATCAGTGTAGTTATTTCATAGTTTAGTTTAATCATTTAACGAATCAATGTATTTCATTCAATACAAAATTGCATTAATTTGAATAATTTAATAAATATTATGTATTTTTTTTTCAGGTGTACAAGAGAGAAAGAGAGAATATGTAGATAAGTATTCTATATAAACGTAGTAAAGTAACCCCTAACTACTACTACTACTACTACAATGTAAAAATACTCGTGAATCTTACAACACCATCTATAAATACCTGTAATAAAGGGAACGATCATTAATCTTCGACAGTAATTTCGGTTCGCAGTGGCGACATTCGTCGTCTTCGTTGCTCTCCTTTCCATTTATCTATCTATCCTTCTCACACTCTTTTAAGTTTGTAGTAGTAGTTGTTGGTAATACTGATGATGGGTGATGGGTGATGGTGGTGGTGGTGGTGGTGGCTACGTTCCTGCACTTTCTAGGATAATTAATGATCCCGAAAGCGATCTGCTCACGGTTGTCTCGTTTCGGGACGATCGTTCTCTCCTCTCTTATCTTCTCACCCCATTTCTCTCTTTCTCGCTTTACTTTTACCACCACCACCACCACCACCAACGCCACCATCCCCTTCTTTGCTTCTTTTACCGCCCCTCATCGACTCCGCCCCTAAATTCTTTTTTCTTTTCTTTCTTCTCTCGTCTCGTTCTCTTATCTTTCACGAAGAGCAGCAACACGCTTTATTATTTCTTACATTTTTAACAGTTTATTTTATTGTATATTAAAATTTTGTTTGTTTTGTTTGTTCAATATATAATGTATTCACGTTTACTTATAATTTTTATTAGGATTTAAATATTGTTTCACATTTTTTTAATTGATTTATTATACATAGTTAAGAATATTAGTTTATTTTGTTGTTTTAAAATTCATTAAGTTTATTCAATACTGTGTATTGTATCTGTTTTGTTATACTAATCTAATCAACATTGTAGCAATCCAATTTCATTATGATACAGCAATTGTACAACGACATTTCTTCTATCATCAACATCACCACCCCTAACAGTAATAAAGATACAAAATACATCATTTAACCCTATGCACAAAATCCTATGAAAAACAGTTCTTTCATTTTCCTAAATATCACATATCCCAAATCCTAATTCCATTAATAGAACCTACAATAATCCAAAATATATAAAATCAATTATCCAAACATTGAAATACATGATTTTATTAAATAAACTTAAATGATCAACTTGAAGACGGTTAAGTAAGTATATATCTTTGAATATAATAAAGGAACGGCTTAAACACTTTCAGAAATAGAATTTACATAGCAGTGTCCAGGTGTGAAAAATCTACACCGTCTTTCTAACATCTTATTTTACCTTCTTCTTCTTCTTCTATCTAATTATCTGGTAAATGGGGACTATTGAACGGTTCATCACCTTTCCCTTTACACCCCTCACCTTCTTAACTCGCTCATCACTTTAGCCCTCATCTAACCACCCCTCTCTTTCCCTCTCTCTCTATCTCTGTAACTGTTCAACCAATAATAAACAAATATTTTCATGACAATCGAGGTGGTAAAGTAGGGCTGAAGACATTGTTTGGTATTATATTATTATCGACTCGGTTCATTCAGATCCGATGAATCTCTCTCTCTCTCTCTCTCTCTCTCTCTTTTATCTTCTTTTTTTTTTTTTTTATATTCCCGGTGTCTAACCGAATGAATACGGAAGCGTACGAAAGCTGGAATTTCCGGTTGACTCGGCACGCTAACGATGGGGTGGTTTAGCACTCGCTTTCCATGGGGACTATAAGACTTAAACGTTGCGAATTCTGTATACTATATATATATCTATATATTCTACTATATATATATATATGTGTATATATAAAGAGAGAGAGAGAGAGGGAGAGAACGCTGTATCTTTTTATCTTCTGTTCAATATCTATTGTCAAGCAACACAATCTGTTCCTCCTCGTCAAACAATTTGCACAATAATGGGGAACGTTCGACAACGAGGAAACAAATTAGCAGGAGAAGAACCGTTGTTGTTGGTGTTGTCGGTGATTTTAAGTTACTCGCGATACTTGGATGATGCTGTGAAATATTTTCTTCATGATTTGATCTATTTTATATTATTATATAATATTTTGTTTGGTTTTAAATCTTCATTTAGACATAACACTTATGATATTCGTAAAACGAACAGGGTTGACGAATAATTTATAAATGATTATATTTAAAATCGAAAAGTATTTCGTGTATGTATTAAAAAAGTCCGAAAAATAATAGGTAGAGAAGATTGAAGAAGAACAAGGGGTGGGGTGTTGGAGGAAGGAAGGAAATGAAGGTGAAGCATAAGGAGTAATTGGAAATTACCGTCCCAGATTCCCTTAGGCCGATTCCATGAACGGAAAACCATTCGACTCGTATATATATATATATCTTATGTTCTTGCATCAATATTTAATCGTGGCTAACAAGATGGCGGTGGTATGCACGCAGACGAGCTATAAAAGCGCGGGGAGCTGTAATACCTTTCCGTTTGCATGCTCAACAGATATATA